AGGACTCTTTGTTCTTAAATGTCCTTTAATGTCTCTGTCCAGGAAAGCTCCTGCCTTAAGTGCCCACTTGAAAATATACTTGAGATTTCTGTGTGATTTTGTCTGACCTTTTGCTAAAGCATGTCTCTGCTAAGCCACCTATTTCTGAGGCTCCCTTGAGTGGCTGTTCAGTAAAGGCCTAAGGATGATATGCCAAAGCTGACAATCCCTGTTTATGTTTCAATAAGAACATTTTGAGGTAACATTTATAAAATCCTATCAGTAAAATGATCAAAACAGAACTCTAGAATGCCTTAAAACAGTAGATGTTAGAATAAGGGCAGTGGTGTTGGGATCCAGAGTTTCTTAAAGTGTCACAGTAGCCTTGGCAGAGGAGGCAGAGAATTAAGAGGAAGGAGTTAACATATTTCTCCTAAAATAACAGCTTCAGTTCCCTGTGAAATCAATGGAAAGAGAGATAGAATATCTCTGAAGACCACGAGTAGTAGTAGCAGTTTAGCTAAAATAATAAAATTATTCTCCTCCATAAATAAAAAATAAAATTGTTCTCCTCTGCTAGTTCAGGGAACTAGTAGGAATATGAGGAATTATTAAGAACTATAACTCAATATTTTCTATTTCTCTACTGAACCCAAGAAGCAAGTTTTAAAGATGCAGCTCCATCACCTGCCCTCTATTCTCCCTGCCCACATGGCTTGTGTAACACTGAATGCAGGAAGCATGGGATAGGTCTGCACTGGTTTGAGAGGATTTCAGCCAGTCCCCGGACCATAGCCAAACTATCACGGTGAATGCAGTAATGTGCCCTCCTGTTCTACCGAGCCTCTGTTTAGCCTCTGATCAGAACAGATGAGGACTCATTCAGGAAAGGGTAGGAAAAGTAAATAAATTCAGTCTGGAATCCTATCAGTAGTTTTAGAGGCATTTGCTCTACAAGAAACTACAAATATTTCTTCATATAAAAGTAAGAAAAAATAAGCGGTTTTTACAGTTCTTTTCTGTTAGAAACTAAAGTTATTTGGATATATAAACATAAAAAGAAATCCAGCTATGAAATTGCACTTTGTCCTACAAGTTAGGTTACATGTTCTGCAGTGAAAGGTAGATGTCTCTTAACAAGCAAGTTTGGACTGCCTTCATCAGTACATCCGAAACAGTGCTTTTTATTTCTGCCCTTTGCAAATGTGCAAGCAAGTGAAAATCCATCTGGATAGGTAAAATTGATAAATTAAGGCATATACTTATAAACCAGAAACAAATTTTCTTAAGTGACAGTATTTGGCAAATTTCACATTCTTTCCTAAACACTATAAAATGGTAATAACTTAATTTGGTAATGAATCAGAAAGAGGATACTGACCCAGACCTTGAATCTGTCATGTGCTGATGTTACTCAAATATTTCAGATTTCAGTGTTGTGAACAGCCACATACCCTAAATATTGTTTTCATACAATCATAGAATCATAGAACCATACAATGGTTTGTGCTGGAAGGGACCTTAAAGGTATCCAGTTCCAAAGTTTTAGTCAGAAAAATCTCTGAACAGATTACTACCAGGAAAAACAGACAAATAAAACAAATAAACAATAAATAAATAAATAAATAAATAAAATAAAGAAGTAGAATTTGAGGGTCAAATATCAAGTTATTTTATTCTCACACCAAAACTGTTTTTTTTAACACATCTAGAAATTACTGGCATGATACCTCTTTACTCTTGACTATTACCACTACAGTAATATCAAAGAATAAATGGTTAGGTTATAGGTTAGACAAAAAGGTTAGGGGGGTTCTCAGGAGGTCTCTACTCCAACTTCCTGCTCCTGCTGGAGCAGCTCTGAGGTCACCCCAGGCTGCTCAGGTTTTGTGCAGCTGGGGATTGAAAATGCCCAAGGGTGGAGATCACATAACTTCCCTGGCAACCCTTTCCCCTGATTTCCCTGTCCTCAGAAGGAAAGATTTTCCTTATGTCCAGTCTGAATCTACTTCATTTTGCCTTAATCACATTGCATCACAGTATTTTGGGCAGTCCATTTTTGATCCTAGCCACAAAATAATTGTCAGATTGCTGACTATTTCCAACCTCCATTCCACTCTTCTTTACTCTGTAAAATGTTCAACTTTTCACTGGAGATAAACTCTTTACCTCTGTTATTTATCCATTTCCAAGACCTGTTTTTTTCAACTAAATGTCAGTATAGCTATCCTGGAACATACAAACAGCATATAGGTGCAGGTAAATAGCACTTCTATTGAAGCAGAAAGTTACTTCCTGAGTAAAAATAGTGTGATGTAGTTTTAAAACCTGTGCTATGGAGCGCGATATTAGTCATTTGCCAAGATAATAGGTCTGATCCTCCATGGTGCTACTCCAGCTGCACTTCTTCTGTGCATTTCCATTGTGATATAAAACTGAAGTCATACACCAGTGAATCAGGCCTAGAAAGTTTAAGAAAATAAGAAATGAAGGTGTGGTGGGAGGTTAATTTCCCTCCTACAATATTTCACAACACTGAAAGCAACAAAACTTTTTTTTTTCTTAACTGAAAGAAATGTAATCTAGCTTTCAACTCACCACATAAAGTAGAAGAACTATTGTTCAAAACTTGCTTACAAAGAAGGTCCCTAGTTTGTAGCATATAATGTCTTCTCATTCGTTTTCAATAACAATTATCACTGTCTGGATAGGCTATTGGACTATTGGAAAATACATGAAATAGGCAAAGAATAAGAAAAGAAAGATAGGCAAAGTAATATTCACAGAAAGCAATACTTCAAAGCACACAGAATTAAAAGCATCAGACATACAGTTTACTGAATGTCTGCACAATAGAGAAGAATTCATCTAAGACCCCTAAACTGAAATGACAGCAATGTTATTTGAGGAACTGGAGTATAGTTCTAGGAGTTGTTGTTCATACTGGAAAGTGACAAATAAGATTTGATTTATTTCTGTTTTAAAAAGTTAGCTTTTCTGTGTTGTTTTTTTTTTTTTTTTTTCTTTTCAATAATGTTGAAGAAAAAATAAATGTTTAAAACAATTTATTAGTTCACTTGCTCTTGCTTCTCATTGAATTTCTTTCCTAACCCTGTCCTTTATGATTAGGCCTTCATATGACAATGTAACAGTAAATAGCTTACACTGAAGTTAATATTTTCTAGCAAACCATCTATTATGCTAATCCACAAGGAACATGATGGACTACTGAAAAAATTCTCTGGCTTCCAAATGCATCAAATGAAGATCATCATCATCAGACTTTTATTTTTAGTCTTATGGTTCAGAAGAAATGGGTTAAGACTTAGAAGATCTATTCAGTATTATTTAGGGAATTATAACTTCTCTACATTTCCAGAACATTATGCTCAATAATACTCTAAAACAGTACTAATTTCTCTGCTGCATTGTCAAGTTATCCTGTCTTAGTAACAAGAAACACAGTATGAAACTGGTGAAAAAAAAAGCCGCATAATAGTTTGAGTTCTGTATAATTGAGTTCCCCAAATCTGCCCTCAGATGCTAAATCACAGCTCTAATTTGCAAGAGCAAGAGAGAGACTCATACAATCTGAACAAAAATCAGCACTTACTGTTTAATTCCATCACAAATCTTCTTAGTACATTAACATCATTATTCTATTACTCTATTATTACTTTTAGCTGGGACAATGTTCCCTGACACAACCTTCCCCTAAAGGATTTAGCTGCCCTGACATAAAAAGGAGTCCAGACTCAAGATGTAATTTTGATCTTTATTTTATTTCTGTGTTTTGTAAGAGAAAATGTGATCATGGCAGCAATACCAGCAGCAAAGGGGTGAACTGTCTGTGATTTGCCTTCCCAAAGTAAAGCAAACTTGTGCCTTTGCTTATAGCATTAGCAGTCAAATATATCATCATTTTGTTTAAGGCTACTCAAGAATAGGTCTCCGGAGTATTTTATGAACACAAATCAAGGGTGGTCACTGTCCCAGAGAATTTTAATTTAAAATTGTTCAGATGGAAAATGTGAGAAAACCCATCCACAAGCAGAGTCAAGGAATATAATAATTCAACTCTTCAGGATCTGGGGGAGTAGAAGACAGAGAAAGTGAATTAACTTAGATAAAAATAGGGAAAAGATGGCAAGGAGGACATTTCCAGAGAGAACACAGGCAAAAATAGACTGCAACTTATATGACAGAGGGTGGAAGCCAACACCCTGGAGAGCAGGACAGAGAGGATGCCATCATTGTTAAGGAACGTCCAAAACCTCTAATGTCTGACTCCAGGTCTTACCAGCTGGGATCTCTCCCAACTTATTCTGCAGCTTCTGGCCAGGGACTTCCAGACAGCAGTCACCCTCTGACCTGGTCTGTGACCATTCCTGACAACACTTTTGCTGTTCAGGAGCCCATGCCTGGTTGCCCTCACCTGGCAGTGAAGCTCCCTTGAGGTCATTTAAGAACACCTCTGCAGTACAGTGCTGAGACTGCTGCAACTATATCAGAATACATAATCCCATGGTATTTATGTTCTGTTTGTAAGAAAAACATCATTTTCTAGAGTTTTATCATTCAGGGCACATCCCGTAAACCAACCACCATAGAATGCTGTATTGAAGAAAGCAAAGGCTCAACAAGATAAGGAGTGTACTTTAAGGATAAGAATAATTAAGTGTACTATCAGGTCAAACCTGTCAGAGTTTAAGAGAGTGAGTTTGGAGTGAAACAAAAAAGGTATGCCTTCTCACTCATTGCAGATTTGCATTTGAAAAACCTTGTTATGTTGGAGCAAGCACATTTAACAATTTTTGTTGTTGTTGTTGTTTTGTTTTTCCTGCCAGGCATAAGGTTTCTTTGGAAAGGAACATACTCTGCAAAGCAAGCAAATTCTGCAGATCAGACTGAATCTTCAGTTTTGCATCACTCTCTAAAATAAACAAACATGTATCTGAAATCCCAACGATTTTCTCCATTGATTTCTTAAGGAATTATTCTGAAAGACCACAAAATAGCAATTCCAAGGCATACTTAAGGATTTCCCTTTTTTATTTATGCACAGTTTTTTTTAAAGAACAAACTTCTCAGTGAGAAGTGAGAATTAATAGCAAAAAATAAAAATCAAAATCAAGTCCTAGATCTTTTATTACTATAAATTTTACATATTGCTGAAATTAATGCACATGAACTTGTCAGTATCAGATCAAGTATGATAGAAATTGAGGAAGTTTTGACTGCGTATAGTCAGCACCAGTGTCAACATGAACCTGTCACTGAAAATGATGACACGGGAAGAACCATTTTTCTGACAAACATTGTCAGAATAAATATAGGTATTGCATAATCACACTATATCATTAGTTTTTCACACTAAAGATGTCTTAACAAGAATGCTGTTTTAAAACTATTTGTTGGTAACAAAAATTGATTAAAATTCTGCTAGAGCCATTGAAAATGAATAGCCCTCATAGAATGGAGGCTTCTCCTGCCAATAATGAGAATGGGGTGAAACCAATGCATGAACAGTACTACTATTTCATCTCATTGAGTCTTGGCTGTCAGAAAACATCCCAAACAACAGATCTTTGAGTACTTAATTTTGTTCAAAAAAATAAAATGAAATCATATATCAGGAATGACATTCTTCCCTTCCAGGGCAGCTAAACAGGCAGAGTGGAACTAGGTGTAGTTCCACACACTTCTAAAAGGCTCTTCCATCATCACACACTGCCTTGGAGTCAGTGCAGTGTTGTAACCAGATAAATGAGAAGACCAGAAGCATCAATTTTTCTACCCGTTATCTCTCCCTTTAGATGTTTAATCATTTTACTTTATACAAACAGTCTGATTGAGGCTGCAGTAGAAGTCTTCTTTGTACTCCTTTCATGGTCCTTTGGTGAATAGAGATGTCTCCTCCTCAACCATCATGCATCAGCTCTCTTCTCATCATGCTTCATAGATGTTTAATTAGTTCATCTCAGAGAACCTGGCAGAATTCAGAAGTTGCTGCTAACACAGAGCTTCTTCTGTGCTCCTCGAGGGACAACCTTGGAGGTGAAGATGGGGATGTTCATCTGTTACTATGGAGACAAAAGCAGAGTCAGCATTCACTAATGTCCCATTGGTGCACAGTGACATTTCTGGGTCTCTATAGTAACAGAGGAGTTTCTTGGTCTCTCTGCCCATCTCTAGGGTGAAAGAGCAGTCCTAAAAGGACTGAGATACAAGGACTGAGATGCAAAGATTGATTCCAGTGACTGTAGTTAGATTCCACAAAGACAAACAATTAAATGGTTGTTTTCTGTTCACTCATAGGAGAATATTTCTGCTACTGAACAGTATCATGCAATATGGGATAGAAAGTGACAGTTGAGTTCCAGAAAAAGCTGATAGAAATTATAGTTTAGGAAAATCAGGCCCTGAGTTTGCAAAAATAAGCTATGTTTATGAAAGACTACAGGCTTGTCCTGTTTTTTCATGTTCTCTTAGATTTACTATTTTTACGCTGTATGTTTTTTATAATGACTGGTCTGTGTTTAAGAAGCTGAGTTTGATTTACACAGAGTGTCTAAAAAAACAATTAACTACATTTTTTCTCATACAGTGAGCCATGATTCTTGAAACAATTGTAATAGAACTCAAAGGATGTTAAGAAATGTTCAGATCCAAGTTCTGTTAGCAACCTGTAGATGTTATTGGAAGCTCTTGTCCAGGCAAAGTGGCTGAGTGTTTGCAACTGCAGCCAGGAATTACAGCTGGCTCTCAGTCTCACACTGAAATACTTGAGATGCTTCCAGCAATTACAGGTAATCACAAATTTCCTGGTGAATACAAATGCTTCAGGGTAATGGGACATAGCATGATGATTGATAGGTGTACCTAAAAATGGAAATTTAGCATTATCACCTAGCATATCTATTATTTGAATAATCTGGGTAATCACAGAACAAGATTAAGTCCTAAGGAATAGGCATGATATCCCCTGGTCCCTTCTTTGGTTTTGTGATAGAATGACTGCAAATTGTGAAGAAGGAACTATCTTACTTTTATAGTGAGAATTTTTGAACCTTTCAACAGCAGGACTACATACTGAGTTAAGGTTCTGCTATTGTAATGTTTGTTGTTGTTGTTGTTTGTTTTGTTTGTTGTTTGTATTTTCTTTTTTCCTAATAATTTTGAGTTCTTCTTTGAGAAAGATCTAGAGGTGTAGGTCTCATTAACAGCAACTTTAATGAGGACAGTCCATTGTCTCCATTTACTTTCAGCTTGCTTTCTCAAATATCTGAGCAAAACTGGAAAAATCAAATTTGTATATGATACAAAGAACTGGGATAGATAGCATAAAAAACCCAGGAAAAAAAAAAAAAAAAAAAAAAAAAGATAAATCTCAAAAGATCCAAAATGAACCTCTGAGCAGCTGCTCAATATTTTCAGGAAAAAATCTATGATTTCTTATAGAGTATGGAATCGGACAGGGCATCAACAGCAAGCTACATATACACTCAAGCATCAATTGAAAGAGTAAAGCAAATCACAGGGTCAGAGGGTGAGCTTAAACTCAGTAAAGGATAATTTAAAAAAAAAAAAAAGAGAGAGAGAGAGAAAGAAAACCAGAAAAATAAATAAATAAATAAATAAATACATAAATAAAAACAAGCATAAGGAGCAGGCAAAGGCATGTAACAGGATGTATGCAGAAGTTTATATGCAAGGGCAATGCTTTCTTTAGAGATTGTCTCACTGGCTTTTCCTTGTGAGCTGAGATCCTGATCCACCTCCAAGATGACTTGGGTTAGAGATTTTCTTATCAAATATTCATCCAAGGAAAGAGAGGCATTGACTGTGTTTCCTTGGTTAAAGTAGGGAGCTTTCAGGTTCAGTGAGGCAATTCAGCAAATGTGGGAGCTGCAACATGACCAGAAGTAACAGGACTGCCTTGTCACACTCAGGGAATAGGAGAAACAGAGCACAGGGTGCTTTCTCCTTCATGCTAAATAGCTACAAAACTGCCAGCATGATTGTTCAAGTAATTTCAGTTGGTTTACAGTCATCCAGTGGATAATAAAAACAGGCCAGAAAGAAAAGAACTTTAAAAGAGCTCTGTTTCTATTCTCTGGCTGATAAAATTGCCTATTGACAAGTGGTAACCCACAGCAACCAGAAAAATATATTGAAGATATAAGTTAATAATTACAGTGATACACTGTGCCTGTAGCTCTGGGATACAGTAATGTGTTTTCTTGCTGTCCATCTTAAACTAGACTGTAGAAATCCATATACTGAAGCTATGTTCAGGACCTTATTCAAGCAGATGGCTGCACATTCAATGAATGAAGCAGATCTCTGATGTGAGATTGAGGGCTCTGGCTTGCCCTCCATAAACATTTCCATCTGAGATTGTGCAGAGAGTGAATTGCCTAAATCAGATGGCTGATGTGCTTATTCTCTCTGAAGTTTTCTGTCCCTCATATGAGTAATTTTCAGTTCAAGATGGACCACCTCATTTTTATCTAAGTACTTCTTAATCACTTTTTGTGCTTCTATTAGTATCATCATGTCCCTAAATCTCTTTTCAGCTTTGTAGGCTCTGAAGCTCCTATTTTTCACCATTTGTTTCAAAAAGAGAGTTTTTTTTTCTTTCCAGTCTATCACTTAACTCAATTAATGTCTCATATTTCTTTGACAGTACAATGTGTGTTATCATTGTGATTTTCATGATCTACTTAGGAACTCAAAGCAGCTTTTTTTTTTTTTTTCCTCTCTCAGAAGAACTCCTCTTTGCAAAAGCCCAGATTCATTGGGCCTAAATTAGGAGCCTAGTCACTTACAGAGAGTAATTCAGCCCATCTCACACCTAAACTGACCCTTCAAAATACCTTGTTCTCTCATTTGTCTATGGAGAGCACTAAAAAAAAAAATAAAGCTTATGATGTAGGTTTATCAGTTATGTGTGTAGAGTTAAGCAGGAAGGACCACAGTCTTTTGCCTCTTGTGGCAAAATCTTAATTCTTTCCTCTTGTTCATAATGACAGTTAATTTACTTTGCCTTCAGTGACAGTTAATTACATTTGCCTTCTTTTTTTAAAAATAAATCCCAAATAATATGCTGATTGACAGGTCGTTTTAGAAATCTAATATCAGCTGTTCAATCTGAAATGACAGTTTGCAATACCAGATTCTGTAAGGTAAAACCTTATAATATGTTTAATTTCATTCATTTGTCATTGCAGAGAATTAATAAAAGGGGGAAAATATCTAATGTAAACAAGTATGTACAGAACAAGCTTGCAACTCCATGTAGCGAGCATTCTGTAATCTGTAGTGATTCAGGCTCCACTAATTGTAGAGCACAACTAAAAGTAATTTAGAGAATACAAATGGAGGAGGAGGAGAGTTGCAACTTGCCTCCAGACCAAAGCCATGAAGACTCTTCTATCTTCTATCGATACAGTAAATATTTCCTTGATCTTTATTTTTCATTTCTTTTCAACCTTTCCAGCTCCTCATATAATCAATTTAAAATAAGAAAACACCCTTTTCTTCCATTCTCTGTGTTGTTCCACACCATCAGTCCTTTTCCACCCTGTCAAATAGTCTGGCAGCCCATCACTGATTTACTGAGAAATAGATTTGCATGTCTTATACTCAGGATTAGAAAGAAGCAGGAATCCAGACTTTTGTCAGTGGATGAACAAAATGCAAGAGAATAACATTATTTGCCTCTAAACTCTGAAAACTTTTAATCAGTTCATTTTCTAGAGACACCATCTCCTTTCCTGATAATACATCTCACCCCAAATAGTAGGCTGACATGAACTCCTAAATAAATAAAATGGGAAAGAATGTTCTTCAGCCAATAATAAAGTCAAGCCACCTTGAGGACATGGAGACAAAGAGTTTATATTTTGTTGTACAATGCATATATGTGTTGACTGTCACTGTTACTTAGAGTGAGGAAAAAAAATAAAACTACATTTTTCAATATTTCATTACTGAAAAAAAATCAGCAATAAGACATTCCAAGAATCTAAGGGGTCTTTGGGAACATGATCAGTGTGTTTCTACTATTCAATAGTTAATTCTGAATCAGCGATGCTGCAACACTCTTACACCTCATCCCCATGTGCCAGATGCAGTTGCATCTGCTCTTTGGGTTGATGGAGGAGAGCAGCCACAGCAGCTGCAGAGCACATGTGTGTCTAGATGCACACATGTCCCTGAAATGAAGGTTGGAGAAGAACCCATTCATGTGCTCCGATGCTAGGGAAGAGAATACATGTCGCCACAAGTATAATAACTGTTGACTAGCAGAAAAGTGCACAGAAAAAATCTCCAGACTTGCAGGTGGTACAAAGCTCTTTGGAGAAGTAATTCTGTGTTGATAATAAGTCCAGAAGGACCTCACAAAAGTGAGAAAGTGAGCGAAAAGGTAGCAGGTGGTCTTCAACATAAATTACTGCAAGGTGATTGTCTAGGCAAAAGTATTCAAAATTACATCTACATGATGCTGACCTTTAAACTGGCAGTGGCAGTTTGGGAAAAATAATCTGGGATCATCACTGGTAATTCTAAAATCATGAATTCATTGTATGGTTGTAGCTGAATGCCTCCCATCTCCTCACCCCTCTAAATATATATTTAAAAAAAAGGGGGGGGGGGGGGGGGGTCACCAGGACTGATATTGAAATGGAGCTTTGGTGTCATGATATCTTGGGTATTACATGTACTTATGGTCTCCATACCATGGGCTGGACTAGTGGTGATAGAAAAAGTATAGAAGATGGCAAGCAAAAAGATCAAATCAATAGAGAATCAGTCTTGCTTGGATCTTTAGTTTTGGAGGACAAGGCTGAAGTGAGTATTATTGAGATGTACAAAATCATGAAATCATATGATAAAGTGAAAGGAGAACTGTGATTTATCAGATCTTATGGAAGCAGAATTAGGGAGTGTTGGATGATATCCAGATAGCTGGATGTCAATTTAAAACACATACAGAATTGTTTATACATTCAGTAGGGAACCTAGAGTTTGTTGAAACAGGCTTGGGGGAAGATTCATCAGTAGCTTCAGAAGGGAT